TGTAACTCTACTGTCTATACTCTTCACACCTGATCCTTTCACAGCACAAGCTACACCTGAATGAATGCAGTGTACAAAAGCCCACCATCCGCCGCTTTCTCAAACAGGTTCAGCCATCAAACCTTGAGTGCACTCTCTGTGTCCCTGCTACATAATAAGACTTAGATTGTCTATTTTTGTCCCCTCATTTACTCCCGCCTGTCATGAATTAAGCAGGCTGAAACAAGAAGAAATTAGGAATTATAAGCAGCTTGACATTTGGACACAGGTTTCAATCTAAGAATGTGAAATTACCCTGCCAGTTTTAATATTATGCACAATTTTGATCCAGACTAAAGCAGAATACTGCATTTCGTTGCCCTGTACCTGTGCATGTGCAATGACAATAAAGTTGAATTCTAGTTGAATTCTAGAATATACTGCAAGTAAACGGAGTTAATTTGGTCAATTAGCTCAGAAACATTACTATCATGATAAAAGTGATGGTGATGTCTTTTTACTTCTGAGTTTTGCATTAAGCCTGTGTGTTAAGGGTTAAACCAACATGGCTATTGCTAATATGTTAATAGGAGAAGCACGCTTTTTACCTACCAACAAGAATGTGATATGCAGTGAAGAAAAATTTAAATAAAAAAGTGATATTGCTTCTTTTTTACTGGCTGGATGGCTAGACACTGTGCTAGCTGTCATGGGGAAAAAGGCAGGGGTCACTCTAGACAGGCTGCCAGTCTGTGAACGGGCCAACAGTCAAACAGTAATTCGTGCTAACACTCACACCTACAGTCAAATTCAAATCACCAATTAACCCAAAGCACATAGGAGGAAGCCATGCCATGCATGTTCTCCCTGCATCTGTAAACAACAAACAGAGTGGATTCAAATAATCCTGATGTTCCTGTGATGAGAGTCAAATAAAAGACAAACAGAACTTATTTGCTCTTTTCAATACAAAAGAGAAAAAAAACAAAAAAAAAACAGTGATATCTTCGTCTTGTCTGCAGGGCATGTAAGATCTTGGTGAATTCTGGTGGTGACAGACTGTCACTTTTGTTTTCCTATGTACATTTGAAATCAGGATTATTACTTTCCTGTGGTTTTTAGCCTTTGTTGTGAGAAATTGCTGGCATCAACAGTTAACACATGATCCTTTACTACATCATCATCATCAAACCACAGTGTCAAAGAAACCACAGCAATGACAGTTCTCTCTCCCTCTTTGGTGCAGTCCCACCCCAGTCTGCTGTTGTGACAGCCCGACACTTTGTGACATAAGGGCATCCTCCCTGAGAGAGGCTTGTGGGAAATTCATTTTGTCAAAGTGTCATTCGCGTCAAACATCCAGCCACAGCAGTATGTCAGGACTCAGGAGGAGAGGACAGCTAGAGACACGGATGACACATTCTCCTGGAGAATCCTCAGATGGGGGTGGGGGGGCTCAGTCAGTATGGTACTATACTGTACTATAGAAAAGTGTGTGTGTCTCTTTGTGTGTGTGCCTGGATGATAAATCAACTTTTGTACACATTTAATCTGCTTTCAGGTTCATCTCATCTGAAATGTCTTTTATGTGCTCAAAAGTTTGAGTGACAATTGAGCCACCTTTCTTGCCCAGTTAAGAAAGGACAACTTTATTTGTCATACTGTGTCGCTACAATCGTCTGTTGAATAGAGCAGTTCTATATCTTCTGTGAGTGTGAAGAGGCAGAAATCCAAACTATTACATATATTAGCAGCACTGCATCATCAGGGACTTTCATTCAATATTTCAATTAGTCTAGAAAGTGTCTATAAAGTGTCATCTGTGTCACCCAAAGTCCCCTAGGTTATGAAATAAACACAGAGACTACAGAATGCATTAGTGCTGAAATGAAACACATAAATGGAAATAATGATGGATGGATATTATTTTTGTTTATTTATTTGTATGCTCTTGGGTTTCTTGCAAGAGCAGGCCACTCCTCCTAAGACAGCAGTAAGGAAACCAGCAAGTCTCTGTGATATTATCAGTGGTTATATCTGCTATATGTGATCCTTCTTTTACCCATCAAACTCTCCCTACAGTTATTGCTGCTTTGACTTCAGATAAAGTTTAACACTAAAAGCTGGTAAAGCTTTTATTCCTTTACCAGCGAGGAATCCTTTCATGCCAATGTTTTTATGAGCTAAACTAAAGGTGATGGGGTTAGCACCACCTTAATAGATTGCCTTTTTGCTGAGATTCATTTATGATACGCAATATTCATTCCACGTTTCGAGATTAAAAGACAATCGCACAGACTTTGCTCTCTAAATACTTGAGAGAGGTTAGAGGGTCACTCTCGAATGAAACCAAAGTCAATTATGGGCTGTTGGAAGTTGTTTTATGAAATGACTCTGTATGTATATACACGTGTAAGTGCAAGTGTGGTAGAGCACTTTGTCTACGTGTGTGTGTAGCACTGAGGAAAAGGCTTTCAGACGATCTGCTCCATTCACCCCCTGCTGGGCTACCAGCCCAAATCCATTTATATCCCTGAGCCGTTGTGAGACTTACAGAGCTGTAGACATAGACCCGTGCGCACAAGTATACACAAAATCCTCCTATGCAGGTTAAGTGGCCACGGCTGCATATAGTCTTGTGTCTGGGTAATTCAGCACATACAGACTTGTGACCGACAATCTGTGTCATGACCTTTGTCACGTCAGCACTGTTTCTCTACTGTTTTTTGCTTCTCTGTTGGTTTTTGCTTCTCTGTTGGTTTTTGCTTCCATCCAAAGAACCCTTTCTGTAAATGCTGCAAAATGTGATGTTACTTAAATGCCAACTGGTTAACGCATCGAACTTTACCCCCATAGATGATATACCCGCAGAAAACACACACACACACACACACACACACACATAGAAATGCACAAACACACATCAATACTCTGAGGCAAACACAGACAGGTCGTCATAAGCTTTCACGCTCACCTCAAGCCTCCATGGCTGACTGAAGTTGCTAGCTTATGCTGGATTAGCGGACCAAACAACAGAGTGTAGTTAAGGACTTCCTCAAACACCAAATGAACACCTTGTCATTTGAATGTAAACACACCGGATCAGGCAACAGAAAGGGGTGTAGTCTGACAGAGTCAATGGCCCGCCTGTTGGCAGGTGAGAGAATCATTAACTAGAGCAGTGTAAGCAAGGGCACAGTAAACTTTCACTGAAGCATCTTTAAAAATATTATTATAAATTCTTCTATTTCACTCATACATTAGTATTATCTTATGTTTAGTAGATGTCATTTAAGCACTCTGAATTGCTAAAGCAAACATTTGACAATTGTAGAGGAGCTCATAAAAATACGTGTTTGTGCTGTGTAATTTTACGGGAGTGAAAACGCATGATTCACTCCGTATCACTTTTTCCTCTGTGGAGAACAAGCCTGTATTCAGTGCTCTTCCTCCTAACCTGTAAAAAATCCCCCTTTACAACTTAACTTTAAATTTAAAAGCATTTTCTCCTTTTATCTCCTTTTGAGAGGAATTTCATCATTTTACTCAGTGGTCAGTTTTCAGGCATTTTCAGCTGTACAAAATAAACCCTCAGAGGACTAGAAATCTAAAGGAAGAACTTAAATGTAAATGGGAAGATAGAAAACATGACCCAAGATGGCGGACATAGATTTGTAATCAGTGTAAAAGAGGGAGAAATAAAACTGTAAATAGTTTATTTCCTGCAGCTATCCAGCTTGTTTGTATGGCATTATAGGCATGCTGGAATGCATTTATGCAGAAAAATGTCAAATTTAACTTGAATACATGAGGTGATTAGGCTACAGGTGCAATACTCAGAGAGTGACTCAGAGTACTTTACCATAAGAGACCAGAGTGGGAGTGAATAGCGATGGTTAGTTTGTTTTTGGAGCTCATGGCTATTTCCTGAATTCCCGTGTACTCTCTCCCTTTCTCTTTCTCTCTTTGCCATGAGCTGGATGATCTGACAGGTCATTGACCTGCCCAGTGGTCTGAGGTATGAGTCACTCATCAGCTAAATCCCCAACGCAGACCTCGCCTGCTGCTTGTGAACCAACACTGGCAATTTTACATCCACTATGTGTATATTATAAATAAAGATAAAGATGTAAGAATTACACAAGCACAAACTTTTTATAGTGCATGTACACTTGCTCAGATACACACTAACCTAGAACTAAGAACATGTCATACATTCAATGTTAATCATTTTATTTAATATTTAAAATATGTTCTCATTCTGTTCAATCACAGAGATTCTTACAGACTCATGGAGAATCAGTATTTTGGTAGTTGAGCTCCAGCAGCCTTCAGATGTTAGACAGTATTACAGTATCTGACAGAAAAAGAGGTGTAGGGGATCTGTTCTGCCCTCGGGGAATTGGGACTGATGGTGTTCATTTGAGAGTCGGTCACGTCTGAAACCTGGTGATAAATGTAATGAACTCATTCCTGCTCCAGGAAGCGTGGAAAGAGACACAGCACAATCTTACATAACCATTGTGTGAATTTGAGGCACACAAAACTGATTGTTTAAATACACCAGTGCTTCTAATATTAACCTTACTTTAAGAGTGATCTTGGGAACCTTGAATAGCTCAGTGCTTGAAAATACTACTCCAGCTTCTGTCACACTGACCAACAAGCCTAACAAACCTCTGTTAGTCCACACAGGCAGAACCAGTTTCTTTGTTCTTTTAAAACAACATTCCAGACAAACCAGTGTGGCTACAAACTGCTTTACAAAATCATAAACCCACTTACAGCTTGACTTAATCAACATTGCACAAGGATGGATTAAACCACAAAACCATTAAACATACTGGACCAAAGCCAGTCCCTGTATTAAAACAGTGGGCCTAGCACTGAACCCTGGGGGTCACCAAACATGAGAAACAATGAAAACTTAAGATGTAAGTTCAAATCAATAAAACTGCCATTTTAGAGCAAAAGATAGCAAAAGCCAACCCAACATACACATTAGGGTGGTGATACCATACCTGCATGGTGCATGGTAAAAAGGATATCCAGGATGAGGTATGTGATTGCAGTATCCCGACTGATTCCACATGGTGCTTCTCTTGTTCCACGTGATGACAGTTCACAAGTGTTCACAAAGCTTTTTCTTTCCCCCTTCTACTTTAGTGCTGTGGAATCAGACTTAGGCTGCTGGGAGTCACATTAATTAGTGTCAGTTCTCTTGTCATTTTAGTGGCTCCATGCGGAGAGAAGGAGAGGTGCTGGCAGGTCTGATAGCTGAGAATACTGAGAAGATGAGGTGAAGAAAATCAGTAAAAGAAGGGACCCCAGACAGGGATGTGATGATGTCAGGTGAGTCAGGTCTGTGTGGTTTACACACCTGGAAATGAAGTCTGCGCCTGCTGCCCCCAACCTCCCTTGACAAAGCTGTAACTACTCAGCAGAATGTACAACGACTGCCCCAGGTGGAGTCTGACATCACAGGTTACTCCTTTAATCCTGCCTCTAGCCAGTCATTTTCCCTCTCGTCTCAGGTGTAATCAGGTATAACAGATGTCTGTGAGGTTAACCTTTCTGAGTTGTATCCTGTTAAATCATGCGATAAACCATGTGTCACCACCTTACATCTCAATGATTAGTAACGTACCGCCAGAGTTTTCGACCTCTCGGGCGCAGATCGACATGAGACAGTTAAGGTAAGCAGCAGATTTCAAAGACATCTCTTCTTCCAGCAGACGCTGATGCCAAATGGGAGCAGTTCATGTCGTTTACACATGCCTCTCCAAAGTTCACACGTGCCACAAATCCATTTCTTCTTGATATGAGCGGCTTAAAATCCGCAGCACCAGCGTCCCTTCTCGGTATCTAGTTTGTCTCGGAGGCAGCTGGCGTAGACACAAGTGCTTATTTCCCCAATCACAGGCTTCCCACCGGCTCTCCAGCCTCACGAAACAACAGCAGTGCACAGAGCTGAATGACTGAGCATACTCACAGAGAAAAGGAGAGAGAGAGAGACAGGGAGAGAGAGAGAGAGAGAGAGAGAGAGAGAGAGAGAGAGAGAGAGAGAGAGAGAGAGAGAGAGAGAGAGAGAGAGGAGATGTCGTAGTGAGAGTGTGTGAATCTATAATGAGTGAGGAAGAGGTAAACAGAGCGGAGCTGCATTCCTTTTCCCGCCTCATGTTCATCTGGCAGGATACACACTGCCGAGGAACAGAAAGGAAACCAAAGAATCTGTGTGAAAGAAAGGACGAGAGGAAATGTTAAAGGGAGGGAAGAATGAGAGATCGTGACACTGTACACATACAAACAAGCAAAATAAATAAATAAATAAATAAATAAATATGTGAAAGCCTGAATGTGAAATGTAAACACCTTTCACCTATCGCCCTGCCTTTGCCAGGGAATTGTGATTATGGTCAATTTCAATGTGCATACTTACAATAAAGTACCGTACACTGGATTTGAAAACTCAGGCCAAAAGAAGCACTTCTGACAAGGCAGCTGACTCTATGTGCAGGATTTACTTTTAAGGAAATAATATTGTATTTTGCATATATTCATTTTCTCTGCTTTTCTTTTTAAACATACTTTAAAAGGTTTGTAGTGCAATAAAAACCACATAAGGGTAGCATGACAGCTGTTTCATTTGATTATACAAACATTATGTAAGAGTAGGTAAGGGATAATATGTACTGATTTTTGGGGTAGGGATAGCTCAGTAGGTAGAGTGGTGGCCCCATGATCGGAAGGTCGGGGGTTCGATTCCCCCGAACAGCTACCCTGAGTTACCCCTGAGCAAGGTACCGTCCCTAACCACTGCTCCCCGGGTGCCCAATGGCTGCCCACTGCTTCACTGAGTGAATGGGTTAAATGCAGAGAGGAATTTCCCCACGGGGATCAATAAAGTACACCTTCTTCCTTCTTCTTCTTTTAGATAACTGGACATGAATAGCTTGAGCTTATATAATATACAGCTCGTTCTCCTAACAACAAATCCTGTAAAGATAAAACACCTTCTGGGGCCAACTTTCGTGTTTCTTTGGTTGAAAGAATGGCAGACGTGAAATGTAAAAGTGAGGTCAGAAGGCAAATGTGGCATGATCTTTGGATGCAAACTGTAATGTGATATTTAGAATCCCCAAATATGATTTCCTATATTCCTATATGTTGTAAATACATGCAATGGCAGTAAGAAACATAGCTTTAAACAGCCTTATATAGCATTAATATCACTTTGACCTTCAGATGAATTTATTGATTTTGAAGGTTAGGTCAGAGGTCAAATTTTTAAACAGTACTTTCTCCTACTTGGTAGGAGGCAACAAAAATGTGTACAACTTCTGTGTTTCTTCTGGTACTGCTGACAATGAGCATATTCTATCAGAAAGCAGGCACTATTTAAAAAAACTGGTTATTTTTACACATTTTAATATATTGATATATAGATCTACAAACTACTTGTTATAATGCCATGATATTAATGTTGCATTTATATGTATCCCATCTAAAATAAAAAAAAATAAATAAAAAAAATCTACTGAGGCACCAAAAAAGGTGTGAGATTATACAGAGAGTACAAACTGGAGGAGAAGCCAGACAAATATACGAGTTAAAAGTGGACACAGAGGTCTGTTTTAGTCCACAGCAGGTTATTCACAGCAGCTCGCAACCTGACTCAAACAACCCAATCAGAAAATGAAGCCTGAGGGTGAGAGGTCACCCCTGTGGAGCTAAACAGGGATGTGCTGTCTCCCCGGAGAGGTGGACTACTCCAGTGCCCTACTAAGCAGAGCACTGCCATGACCCTCGTGCAAGGACAACTCGGCTGCACCGGGGGGAAAAGCTGGTGGCACAGGCGCGTAGCTGGCAAAAAGGCAGTTTCATTCATTGCAGGTCAAAGTCCAGACATGTAATCTGATATGAAAAGAGAGTTTGCAAAGTGAGGTAGTGGATTTTAAAAGCTAAACACCGTAGCAACAGGATACCCTTGTGAATATTTGTTCAAGCCCTGATAATTTGATGACATAAGTTGTTAACTGGTGCAAAAGCATGACATGAACTCTTAATAATAAACAGATAATAACACCTGAAATCTGTTTGTTATGTAATGAAATTCATGTTTTCACATCCATAGTCATTCATTTATGGAATCTCACACCCTGCCTTAAGAATCTTACTATCATGTTGCGTCACTATCCTTTGTAGCAATCCATCAGCATAATGAGTTGTTTTACAAACTTTTGGGATTCACGTTGCAGGAAATAGTTTCCAATTACAGGGAAAAACCCACAAGTTTTTCAGCCACCTGTGTTATAAGCATTTATCACAAACAAAGCAACTTTACAGTGCTATCAAAATGCATGATTTAATATGTCCAAGAATAATTTTATTAATTTAAATCAATAAAAACAAACCTATTCAGCTTTTGTAGATACTGAAACTCATGCTGGTCAATGTCTAAGCAATTCATATGATGACATTTAACTTCAGTAACAGTGTTAACGCCTGGAAACTGCTCTAAATCTGGCACATTTTACCAAGTAATGTGACAGGTTACACAGTATTTGCTGCATGGTGACCTCTGACATCATTTAGCCTTAAATTTATTCACACAGCCTGAAGGAGCAACGTAATCTGTGGAGTAATTTGCTGGTTATGTCATGTCTCTTTGCTGAAGTGAGAATGCAGATAGGAAGAAGCAACAAAGCTTTGGAAGGAGGTAAAGTGGTGGAAGTGAGGGAGGGAGGGAAGAAAAGATCTGGGCAGGGAGGGACTGTGAAGAGTGAAAACAACAGAGGGGGTGGGCCAGGCTGTCTCCTGCTGTTTGTTTTTAGCATAAAATTTAATTCTGGCAGAATCTAATCAAGCTAGGGAAACACAGGGGACCCTGATCCTTCCTTTTCTCTGTCCTCCTCCGTCTCTGTTTTTTCCTCTTGTTTGAAGGTGCAGGTGGACTGGTTTTGTTAGTCTATCCTCCCACACACGAACGCAGACAACCATGAAAGGTGGTGCACATCTTCGGCACAGATGTACGATAAACTTAAAAAAAAAAAAAAAAGACATTACGGTACACATTTGTGCATATACGCGTGTGTGGATAAATACACACCGATGCCTCACAAAAATAGACAAATAGAGAAGTCTATAGGAAATGCAGTGCATGCACATACAGCACACATACAGAGGATGCTGTCTGGCAGACATTTGACAGCTGTGTTGAATCATTATGTCAGTGGGTGAGATGGCAGGAGCGTGATTGTGCCTGTGGTTTGGCTTATCTGGCTTTCACAGCCAAAACCCCTCTATTACTTTAAAACACATATACACACACGCGCGCGCACATGCACACACACACACACACAATCTCCCAAAACACCTCCGCCTTCTTATGCCTCTTGTCAAGGTCACAGCTGAGCCCATATTCCTGAAAAATTCTTAAAAACAACACTCAGCTACACACTTTTCATCTTTTTCTAAGTGCAAACTGCCCAGGAGTACAAACATAATAAACTTAGTTGGTGGTCAATACCCTTGATTCAGTTTTCTAACTTTAAAATGCAACACCGCTGCACATTTCCACCTCAGAAATGATGCTTTATTTTTACACACACACACACACACACACACACACACACACACACACACACAGAAAAAAAAATAGAAAAATCAAATCTATTCCCATGAAATAGAAAATATAAAAAGAAAATTGTAGTAAATAGTCCATCTAACAAGATATGCACTCATAATCCCTGCACTACTGTCCCCTCACCAGCAGCTCCTGCAAAATTTAAACCATTACTCCCACTGCCGTCTTAAAATGTTAACAAATGCAAGTTTAATTTTGGCCTTTTTCCGGCACTTTCTCCCACGCAAATGCTTGCTCTCATTCTGAAATACGACACAATCTCTCTTCGCTTCTACATTTTTTCCACCTCACCTGTGTTCAGATACTGCCCGGTGGGACTATTACCTTTCTCAGGGGGACTAGATCAATCATACCGCTGGCCAGTACTCATGGGGACTCAGCTCCACGTGTCTGGATGAAATACAGGCAGATTGCAAAAACTCTCTCCATACAAACAGAAGATTATTAATGCCCAGTTGTGTATGCAAGGGTTGGATCGACTTGTTAGGAACGATAAAAACTGGATAAATTGCAAGTGGGTATACTGTTATCTGGTTCATATATACCTGAATGATGTGCTCAACTGTCTTGGGAGAAGCTTTGTGAGCTCGAATGATGCAATAACTTTGCTGTGTCTGTGAGTGTATCAATACCCCAAGGGATCTTTTGATCCAGATTCTTCAATCTTTAGTCACATACACACTCAGAAGACACAGTCATACTATTAATACACCTCCCCCAAATTCCTTACTTTCATCATGCCTTGAAGCCTCGCATCTCTTGATCTCACAAGCTGTAATCTGACACTACAATTAGAAGAAATTGCGGTTCTGATCCAGAGTTAAAATAAGCAAGGACTAAGCAAAGACATTTCTTCAAAATGTTTGAATATACTGGACATAATGATCTCTGTGTACCTGATTAGTACAGCATGCTTTGGTGCTGAACAACAAGAGGTTTACACAGTATAAAGCACATCTCTTGGCTTTACCTACAGTGGAAGAATATTAACAAGTAGTTGGAATATTTGCCTGTAACAATTGTATGAGACAGACAGACAGACATACACACACCAACTGTTATTGGCTGTTCTAAAGAGTCAATCTTAAAATGCTTGGTTTGAAAAGAAGAAAGTTGCAGCAGACCACAGTCCATTGGCCGGTACTATTAACAGAAACTCATGTGGTCACATATTTAGCAATTTAATACAATGTCACACTAGTCACATAGGATCACTCTTTATTTACCTCTTTTTTGATTTATCATCTGAAATGTCTTTGTGATTGATTTGCCTTTATCAGTAGACTTGGTGTTACAGCAGGGCGATATGACCAAAAAT